CCCACTGTGCCCCGGTGCCCACTGTCCCGATTCAGTTTCTTGTGCAGCGGTGGCGGGGCAGGGAAGCTCGTGTCCAAGCTATGAGGCACGTGGTATGCGGTGTGCCAAAGTGACTTGCGCCCAGGAACCGTAGCTGCAGGCACAGGTAGGGCCCGAGGAGTGAGAGTAGGCCTACGACGTTACCGATCGTGAACACAATGAATGGGTCTTATCTTCGTGAGAAGTTTAAGGGCACCTTTAATACTCCGTTCCTCTTTTTTAATCTAATTTAAGCCAAGCAACTCAAGTGGAACGTTTGGTAGCGCGTGCTGATGTCCACTCATAACCGCGGACCCAAGACGTAGGGTTTGCCAAGGAGATCGACTTCCGCTGCATCAGAGTCCGTGTCATTAGCCTTTGAATCAACTACGGTTGCATTCGCCGTGAGTGGGAAATGAATTCATAAATTTAATTTTCAGTACGTGTTCGGGGAGAAGGTCAAACACAAAGGTGTCGCTGTGAAACGCTCTGGTGACCGTGCTATTGCTTTCACCACAACCACTACTGGCGAGAGACCTTCGTCGGACGGCCTTCATAGTGTAGGATATTTTTTGCGTGAAATTGATTCGTCTTGGGGTAGATAAGTGTTCTTTAATATCCGTGCTTGTCTTTTGCTGCTTCAGAGGACGGTCATTCCCCCCCGTGACATATTACCCAGATAACAGCGAGCCAAAATATTACATATGCTTGGCATCCTTAATTATGTACTTAGAATAATGTAACAGACAAACTATTATCAGAAACAATGATTATATCAGATTTTTATATGAACCTGAAGACTGAATATTATACACTTTGTTTAACAGCTTCGAAAAGTTACCCAGAATGTAATAGCAGCGTTTCGTGTTTACCAAAAGTTATACCTGGCTCTCCTCACGCTACATAAAAGACTCGCAGGCGTGCATGATAGAACCCAGTAAACGCCACCTGTTGATAACATTTGATAAACCTCCGGCATAACAACGTGGGCAAATTTACGCGGAAGTTTTATTCTACCATGTTTCACACTTTTATTTCTGTTAATGAGTTCGTTATACATGCTCAGTCTACATTAAATTTGAACTCACAGGATATTGATTATTCAGGTATGCAGTCTAGTCTTAGAGGATTACAGTCAACACATCATCTAACTAAAACTAACATGACTTATATTTTTCCACTGTCGGCCTTGAGTGACTGCAACTTAACTCCGTTTAATCTCCCCTTCGCTCTTTTTTTTTAAATTTTTGTTTTTCTTTAAGATTTCATTCTTACTGCTCTCTTAACCACAGCTGAAAGGCAAAGACGCGGTCCTTTGCTGCACGACGTGTGAGTGACATCTGCTTCGACCTTTAAAAACATTTACTCTTTCCTCCTCCTCTCTCTTTTATTTTATCTTTTTTATTTTCTTTACGTGCACACAGTCATGCATGTGTACGTGTATGTATGTGTACCTGTGTATGTAGACGCACGACACACGATGATTTCCTCCTAAGCAAACGCAAACAGTGACTAGAAAGTTTGCCTTGTTAATACATTTAATTCCATATTAAGGTTGTGTAACTTCGTATGTCTTAATCTTATTTACAGTTATTATGAAAACAGATACAAAGCTAATATTAACGGAATACATCTATATCCCCTTTTTCTTTGTCGCTGTTAATGTAGTACAGTATGTTCATTCTTCTGACTGACTATGACATATATAACGTATTTGTTTAAATAAACATAAATAACCTGGTGCAAAACATTTTCAAACAATGATACGGTTTCAGATATTGCCCAGACGGACTATTCAGTAGTAATAAAAGTTCTACATTTCATGTTTTATGTCAACTCAGTGATACAGAGCTTTTGGCGGACCGTTAAAACCGCTGGAGAGTGAAGGATGAGTGAGCGGGAAAAAGGACAGAGGGATATGGAATTTAATGTTCAGATCACTTGACTCTGGCCTCTATACCAGTCTCCATATTGAGTCATGTGATGTGATGTGAGTCATGTGATGACTAGTGGACTCTTGAAATAAAACAGTTAACAGAGGGTACAGGCAAGGTCAAACAGACATAAACACTCTTGCATACACACGCACACGTACACGCTCGCCTCACGCATGCATGCACGCACGCACGTAGGCACGCACGCACGCACCCACCCACCCACACACACGCACACACACTCACGCACACACACACACACACACACACACACACACACACACACACACACACACACACACACACACACACACACACACACACACACACACACACACGACTACACAAGTAAAAAAAACAAGAATCTGCAAAAAAAAAAAAAAAATCCCGAAAAGGAATAGTTCTCTGGCCAAGAAAAAGATAATAAAAAATCCACTTTTCACACACTCGCGACACGAACTGTGTGAGCAAGGTAAACACGGGGAAAGAAAAGTTTACATCTCCAGGGAGAAAGTTGACATTGAGTTAGTGGGTGTTCCGGTGGCAGGTAAGCCATGTAGGCGATTTATCTTCCAGAGGGAAATACGCAACACGCGGGGGAGAAAATCAGTAACAGATTATCTACCTTTGCAATACCTTTTGTTCGATTCATAACAATGGGAAGTATTTACGAATAGGTATATTTTGCATTGAGTGACAACCTTCGAGTCATATCACGCTCCGTTTGCGTTAACTGTCACGTAGGTATCGCAAATGTAGCGGGTTTACTATCTTTAATAATTCTTTAGTTATTCATATTTTTTAAAAATCTGTCAGATGTGTTCCTAAAATTGGACCAAGTTATCACGAAATATTTAATGATGAAATTATACCGATTCGGCGACTGGCGAAAAAAGTGAATAATCTTTAAATGATTTTTGTAGAGAATCAAAAGAGCGTCTGCTGGATGAGCAGCTTGGAATAGTTTTGAATTATCATTATCATCACCACCATCATCATCACCACCACTATCGTCATCATCATCATCATCACCATCACCATCATCATCATCATCATCATCATCACCATCATCATCACCACCACCACCACCACCACTATCATCATCATCATCATCATCACCATCACCATCATCACCATCATCACCATCATCACCATCATCATCATCATCATCATCATCATCATCATCATCATCATCGCCATCACCATCATCACCATCATCACCATCATCATCATCATCATCATCATCATCATCATCATCATCATCATCATCATCATCATCATCATCATTCCTTGTCCGAATTTTGGTAAACATGACACTTTAAAACACTGAGAAATTCCATTGCCGTAAGATGTACAAGAAAACACTAAAAGTTGCTTCCTCATATTTGTAAGGAATTGTCGATAGGTAAATATTTCGTCACTAATTACACAGATAAGACTTTTATTTTTATTTTTATTTATTTTTTATTTATTTATTTGTTTATTTATTTATTTATTTATTTATTTTTTACAGATTCTATGTCTCGCGTCTAGTTGTTTCACCGTGATTATTAATTTTAATAATTTTCTGGTGGTCCATTTATATAAACAATGGCTCGTTTAAACCCCAATGATCACGGTATAATTGTTAATCATTACAGTTCAAAATCTAATCACAATTACACTCTCTGGTTTCTTTTTCTAATTAGGTTAACGATATAAGGCTTATTCTTATCTTATGATAATTGTGTAGTGCACGGATATGGAGCCTTGGTAACTGAAATATTTCATGATTATTACTATTATAATAATAATAATGATGATAGTGATAATAATGATGATAGTAATAATAATGATAATGATGATAATAATGATGATGATAATAATAATAATTATTAGCACTATTATTGTTATTATTTTTATTAATATTGTTATATATATTATATTGTTATATATATATTGTTACATTGTTATTATTTTTATTAATATTTTTATCAATATTGTTGTTGTTACTGTTACTGTTATCATTATTACCATCGTCATCGCTATAATCAGTGATAGTAATTTTAGCAACAGTATTACTGGTTATAGATCATAGACCTGATACCTACCATGGTCTTAACAACATAAAAAACTGCATACTAGGTCACTCACCCTATTGTTACATCCCTGTCCTATTCCCGTTACGTAAACTGATTACATGAAAGTCCAGCAAATAGCTTGTGATTCTCTTTGTTTACATTACGAGGAGCAGGCAAGGTAAGCAGTGGGTAGCAAGACCAAGGACTGGCTGGTACTGTGTTAACATACAAACATACTTAGGTATGTTTTTCCTTCACTTTTCTCTCTGTATAATTATTGCTTCTAGCTGTCAAAAAAAATGTTTATCCTTGCAAATGTACGATGTGTATTTTTTCTTTTCTTTATTTATTTTCTAAAAAGATGGTTATATATAACATCACAGAGATTTCTTTTGTTACAATATGTTAACTTTATGTATTTTTATTACTGTAATAATATTCATAATGGGATGATGAAGAAACATTTTTTTTAATGACTATGGGCACTGTGTACATTTATAAATAACAGTTATTCTAATTATTATTACTGTTATTAGCATTATTCCTCTTATCATTGTTGTCAATTATTATCATTATCATCATCGTTACTATTATTGTTATTATCACTTATTATTATTATTATCATTATCATCATTATTATTAATATCATTATTATCGTTATCGTCTTTTTATTATCTTCGTCATCAATATCATTGCTGTCATCGTTATTGTTATGAATTGGTGCTGTTATTATTACCATTATTATCATTATTATTATTATTATTATTATTATTATTATTATTATTATTATTATTATCATTATTATTCTTATTCTTATTCTTATTCTTATTCTTATTATCACTATTATTGTTATTCTTCTTCTTCATTTTCTTATTATTATTAATATTATTATTATTATTAGTAGTAGTAGTAGCAGTATTATCATTAATATTATTATTAATATTATCATTATCATTATCATTATTACTATTATTATTATTATCATTATTATTGCTGCTATTAACATTTTTATTTATCTTATATTTATCTTTATTTATTTATCTTATTATTATTATTATTATTATATGTTATTATTCTATTGTGGTTATTATTGTTATTACTATTATTTTTTTGTTATTATCATTATCATCATTGTTATTATTATTATCATTAATACTTCTGTTGTTATTGCTATTTTCATTCTATTTTTATTTTTATCATTATCATTATCTTGGCAGCCCACCGAGATGGCAAGTCCTTGGAGAGCGCCGTACGTTCCTCCTTCGTCCGAGTAGCGATCTGGTGCACTCCTCGGCTCCGCCTTCCTCTCCTGCAGCGGCCTTTGCAACCTTATTTTCAACATGCATTCAACTAACGGCACTGTGCAGTTCTTGCCTGAGGACTTCGATCTTCTTCGGAACCTTATAGAGGAGGTTATTGAGGTGAGGCGTGGGAGGTGTTGGTGCTGGTTGCGAGAGGACGTGTTCACATATGCAGATGCAAGGATATATGTAAATGCATGCACGTAAGGACATGTATGTATGTAAGGATACGGATGAGGAAGGGTAGGCAGGTAGATACAAATGCACCCGGACAAACATGCACTTGTGCAAACACACACACACACACACACACACACACACACACACACATACACACACTCTCTCTCTCTCTCTCTCTCTCTCTCTCTCTCTCTCTCTCTCTCTCTCTCTCTCTCTCTCTCTCTCTCTCTCTCTCTTTCTCTCTCTCACGCAGACTCTCTCTCTCTCTCTCTCTCTCTCTCTCTCTCTCTCTCTCTCTCTCTCTCTCTCTCTCTTTCTCTCTCTCTCACACACACACACACACACACACACACACACAAGCACACACAAGAAACCAAATCTCACTATAACAGCGAGTGATTGATTACTATGATGGATGACTGTGCAGGAGATGCATGACATCATGACGCTTGGATGACGTAAACGCTCTCTCCAACTGACGCAAATTCTCCTTTCAGAACCGATGCAAGAATGACACGAGCACGGTCATTAAGGAGCTGCGATCTCTGCTGCAACGAGAGAACACGACCGTCACTGAGATCGAGGAGGTGATTCCTTGTTTACTCTCACATGTTGTTTTTTTTTCTATCATTAAGGGTCTTCTTTTGTCAAGAGACTCTGTTTTTACATTTTTGTTGTTGTTTTTTGTTGTTGTTGCCACGTGATATATCTTGCCATTGGGTCTTCTGTTGTCATAGGTTTCTTGCTGCCACGGGTCTCCTGGTTGTCACGAATCCTCTGTTATCGCAAGTACTCTGTTTCCTCTGTTGTCACGGGTCATCATTTGTTTCCAGTCTTCTGTTACAAGATATCTGTTATCGCGGTTGCTTCTGTAGCAAAGCATTTGATTTTTTTAAAGTTTTATTCTTAAACGCTCTGTTCTGTATTCAAGACGTTTAAATTGTTTTAGAAAGCTTGTATTATCTTCGCCGTGTTTTTCGTTACTACTGCTGTGATTTATAGGTGTTGGTATGGCTTTCATTGATTTTTTCCCCCATAATCTGTTTCTCAGATCGACAGAACCGTGAAGTAATAATTGCATTGTCTTCATACCTATTTCTCCGTTAGATCAATATCTTTGTCTTATATTGTTGATTTTCCTTTGCATATATGTGTTAGAAAATATGAATAGTGATGATACTAAAGGGAAATACAATTAAATGATGGGAAATCATTGATAAAGTTCATGGATTGTTACAGAAGGATCTCCTGCCCATTATGATAATGATGGAGGATAACGGGCGTCGATATTAGCAAAAATAATGCTTGAAAAAATATTGTAAGAACAACAACAGTATTGAAGATAATTGCGATAATAATGATGTATTGATGTCTCAAAAAGGGGAGAAAATGAAATATGGCCGAGAGCTAATGAAGTATGTCGTTATCACAATATGATATTAGATATCCAAATACGCATTAGGTTAAGGGGAATAAAGAAAAATCCACGAACAGGATATACAGATTGTCAGATTTCATCTATTTTGGTAATTCTGTTTCTCCATGGCGGAGTTTATTGAATTTAACTATCTAGGTGCACTGAGTAATATATAATGTAATAGACGAAGTAGATACTGAATAGGACTGAACGGGCATGGAATAAAATATACAAGAGGTTAACTCCCACACCTCAGTATGTAACGTCCTCGCCTGTAGGTAATTCATAGACCGCGAGATGTAAAGATAATGATATCCATAATACATTTTAATAACGTTAATCATGTAAACGGAAATTTTGCTAATTAAACAATATGGTGAGCAGTAGATATGACGACGTTGCGTACACAATTTAAAAACACAGTTACTCCCCACCCCCACCCCCTTAAAAAGACAAAATGAATAATGAAATCAATAAATGCGTCCGTTACCCCCCCTCAGCCTTCCTCGGAGGACTCCCTAGCGGTGGTCTACATCGTGTTCGTCCTCATGTTCTTCGCCGCCTCCCTCCTCGTCATTATCATCAAGTACCTCCGTCGAGAGCGAGAGTCTACGCGTCTCCAGCAGTTCTACGAGGACTACCTGCAGAATAAGTATCCTAGGTAAGACTGGAAGAGAAAGAGGGCGTCGGTTTCATAATCTAGTGTGAATACGTTAGTTAATAAGTTAATGAGTTTGGGAGTTTCAGCGTTGGAAGTCCTCCGGGAACTTGTGTTTTTAAAATATGAGTGTTGCACAGTTTCTTTTTCTCACTTCGGTGCATTAAAATGTCTATTGAAGTTTTAAAGGCAGTCCTGGGGTTATAGAGGAAAGAGTTGTTATTTACTAATGGACATGTTTTTTTACTGTTCAGGACTGGATGGCAAGGGTGGAGGAGGCCTAGTTGGTAAAGGTAAAAAAAAAAAAAAATCTACGGTGCTTATGCGAAATGAATTACGCCTTATATAAATTACGCCTTTAAAGTTGATCTATAGCACTTTGATGTTGACGTCGAGAGCAGTTATGGGGCTGTTCAGAATTATGGCCCAAGTTCACTTTGTAAAATATAGAAAGCCTTATTTTTACAGGTAATGTTAACTGTAAGATCGCAATCCATTTACACTTGAACTTCTGTGCATGGGTGATAGGGAAAAATAATACTGCTGTGCATTGGCAGCGAAGTACTCAGGCAATAAAAGCTTCCATTATTTATACCCTTTTCAGCTTAAGCACCATTTGGAAATGCAGCAAAACTGACGGCTGCATTTCGGAGTAAAGTTGCCTCAATAACCGCATGAATTCATTACATCATGATATTGTTTCCCTTATCACTGTAGTTGTATTTCACTTTATCTTCATATTTGTGTGTGTTCTTATCCGTTACAATACACACAAGTAATGGACCAGTAATACTTTCTATGACTACTATTACGAATTATATCTGCGTGTATTACAGTTCGTGGTCTGAATACTAACAAGACTCGTCTTTGCAGTTTAGTGGTGCATTATGACGAGACTGGCCGGCGCCTTCACCCTCAGCAATCCTTTGATTCCACTCGTTATAGCAGCCCGCCGCCCACGCCCCTCGTCTCTCCTATGGCCACGCCATCCGTTACGCCCATCGCAACGCCCATGTTGACGCCGACAGACTCCCCTCTTGAAAGTCCTCTCTAAGAGGAGAGAGACAGGGCCAAATATAAAATAAAAAAGATATGGCATCGACACATTTAAAAAGTTTACTAGAACACATAATCGTCATTTGTTTTTTTTTTTGTCTACAGTAGGAGATAAATATCTGCGTGTATTTTACATTTATGGATTTGAGCTTTTGTTATTTACGGGTGATACAATGACAGCACCATGAAAATAAGGAATTTGTAAATAGTCCTTTATACTGATTAATTATTTTCTTTCAGTACATACGTACTCTAGCCAGGGATATTATTCCATGCCTTACCATATGATTGAAAATGCTTGGTTCATACGGGCATACTCACTATGAAAAAAAAAAAAACGTTGACCATATTATGTCAGAGGTTACAAACTGTATATGTTTTTTTTCATGTCTCTACCAGTGCCCTATACACTAAAAACTAATCTACATTTTGCATACATGTAGGTGTTGTATACTACGAAGATCTTTGCTAACTGGAATATGGGCATGGATGCTAGTCGGTATTTAAATGTGTGGCTCGTAAATGAATTAATGAATAGATATGTAAATAATGACATCAATATCTCATCCACAATATGCAGATATCCGAGGTCAACCTGTATTTGCTGGGAATATATTTAGTCTTTTATGTAATTCGATGAGTTGTTTGATAAAATATCCTTTTTATCATAATGATATGTGACCTTTCATGCCTAGGCCATTTATTTGTTTAAAACTTTACATTAAACATTGATTGAACACATTTAATATATGGTACCTGTATTTCTGTAGTTTCCAGTATGGTTATTTTCAGTTATCTAATTTCATCCCTTTTGAAGATTAGTTTAGTTTGCCGGAATATAATAGGTCAGTTACCAACCAAAGAAAGTTTGATTTAGTTCGAGTTTTATTTACGTTCCCCAAGCGTTATATTTGTATGTGCATATGAGAGAGGAAGTGAGTGAGTCTGTATGTGTGTGTTTGTGTTTGTGTTTGTGTGCGTGTACGTGTGCGTGTGCGTGTGCATGTATGTGTGCGTGTGCGTGTGTGTGTGAGAGAGAGAGAGAGAGAGAGAGAGAGAGAGAGAGAGAGAGAGAGAGAGAGAGAGAGAGAGAGAGAGAGAGAGAGAGAGAGAGAGAGAGAGAGAGAGAGAAAGAAAGAAGGAAGAAAGTATATATATATATAAATGTACCTATCTATCTACGTAAGCTGATGAAAAACCACAACTTCCAAACATTCATGTAAAGCAAACCTTGAAACCACCATTACGTACATGAACATTAGCTTTACATTATTATCACTTTTTATCGAAGCTTCGTCTCCATTCACCCCGGTGGGCGACGACGCTCATGTCATACAGATCTTGCTCTTCCCGTTATGTTTCGTTCGTATCATGCA